TTAACATTTTACAAAATAATGCTTTGACATTCGTTCTCACGCTAATTGTCCTGAATATTACAGGCTGTGTTCAGTGTATAATTGTGAAAAAACTGATTTGATGTGAATTTATTTTTATATTTCATTGAATAAAATATTTATATGTTATTATTTTATATAGCTGTTGGGAATTAATGACGTTGAGTATTTGTGTATGTCTGTGTTTATCCTTGGGAAATCGTGAGCATATTCTATTTGGTAGGGTAGTTAGTGCTGAGTTTGAAGTTGGGCGTGGCTGGAGATCCTGGAAGAGTGTCAAAGAACTTGTTCGAGGATTTTAGGATTTTAGTTCTTGTATTGACACAATTCGTAATTCTCTGTGAAGTTGTTTGTTACTAATAAACCAGGGAGCCATAGTTATTTTTCGTAAACATTTATTTTGAATGATTTGTAGTTTTTCGATGTGTGTTTTTGCTGCATTGCACCAAATTGGGCTAGCATACGAGATTGTTGATCGTAATATCGATTTATAAATTGTAGTTCCAGATTCAATACTTAAAGCTGATTTACAGTTCAGAAGAGGATAAGTTTAGCAATTTTTGCGTACATTTTGTTTGCAACTTTTTTGATGTGGTCTTTCCAAGTTAATTTTGCATCTAACATTAGTCCTGAATATTTAACTGCCGTTTGTTTGGGAATCCATTTTATTACTAAATTTTGAATTTTAAGGGGGGGGGAGGGGTCGGTGGTCTTCGAAGTGTGGAGATTTTGGGTTGCGATTTGTGGGAGTTTATTTTGATTCTCCACTGTTCAGACCAGGTGATAAACGTTGTTAAGTCGTTCTGAAGGTTGTCGTAAGCACAGAGTATATCCTCGTGGGCTGTGAATAAAGCGGTTTGGCGAAGAGGACGATTTGTGAGTCAGCTGGTTTTGGGATATCCAATAAGTATACGCTGAAAAGTAAAGGTGATAGGCATGATCCATGAGGGACACCGGCTCTAGGTTGACATTGATTAGAATAAGTAGATTTGATTCTTACCAGGAAATGGCGAAATGCTGTTGATAATTTTATAGAGGTAGTTTGGTGAGCCTGGACGTTGTAGTTTAAATAGTAATCCGGGGTACCACATTTTGTCCAATACCTTTTCAATGTCTAGAAATATTGCTAAGGTGTTTTTGTGTTGTTGGAATGATAATTCTTCTTGCGAGTGCATTAGCGCTTTTATACTCTATATATTACCTTGTGGGTCCGTACCGTTGGGGATTATGTTTCTCCTATAGTCAGAAGAATCCATTTTTCTCACAAATACAGCTGCAGCTATACGTTAAATTCAATAGAATGTACTGCATTTCGGTTCCAGTATGAGAATGTCCGGATTACTCCTGTAGTTCAACCAAGTTAAATAAATCGCGTTTCGTTAGTACACCATTGTTCACAGCATGATCTACTGTAATGGCGCCTCGAAGTGAACTGCCAATTTTTTTCTTTAATTTTGTTTCATGGATAGATGAAGGACTCATAAAAGAATGTACCGGTTCTCATTTTCGTTCAAGTACTTTAATTTTCGAAAACTGTAAATTAAGAAAGAATGCGAGGAAGTATGAGTTGCAGCACCACTAGTTCTTGTCTTATGTACACTAACTTTTCTCATTTGAAAAAAACCGGAGTGGTAAATTTCAACAAGATAACAATGAAACAGTGGATTTATAAGAAAAACATACTTTGTTATGTAATACACAAGATGTATTCTTGAAAGTCAATCTCCGCCTCTGAAGTCTTGTGAATTCCGTCTTCGCGGAACTGTGAAAGAAAGAAATGACCACTCTACTCTCCGAGGATTTGTTCACCGCGTGTGAATGATTCAGCAAAGGAGCAGAAGAGTTTTTGGTGGCAGCGGTATCGCGCGGCGCCGGCCTTTCGACCGTCCTTTGCGGTATGCGCGTACATAGGAGCTGTTACGCTCCGCTGCGCCGCGCCGCGCCGCCGCCGAGAGAAAACGCGGCGCCCTTTTAATAGATTACGGCCGGCCGCCGATTTCTTACGTCTCCGGGAGAGCGGAAAATTTTCAATCCATAGACGCCAACCCGGTGGCGCTTGCTGCCCGAAATGGACCGAAAGATGCAAATGGTAGGAACTCGACCTCCGTTTGGCATTTCAATTTTCCTCTCTTTACAATTTTTATTTGGCAATGATTCATTATATTAAGTGAAAAATTCATTTATTTATGAAGAGTTAATAATACTGAAATTTAGATGTCTTTTTGTAGTTTATGTTATGTCTGCGAGGAAATTGCAGTTTCCGGCCTTGTGAAGCGGGCAGTAATATATTTTCACACCATTCCGACCATAAACTGACATTTGTTCAAGAGATATGAATAGAAATATTGTGAAATGAAAACCATGAGTGCATGGGTTTCATTTCACATGAAAAACATGGGTGCAAAAACGGTTGATGCTCATCGATTGTAACCCTCATGTAAATTTTTCTCGAGTAACAATAAACCAGCAATTGCTTCTTTAAAACAAAAGTGTTTATTTGCTCTTGTTCGACATTTGCCTTTCAAGATTTTGAATTAATCATTGTAACATAAATTTAAAAATGATAATGGACAAAAATACGATTTAATTAATTAAAAAAAATTGAAGGTAAGTCCGTGTAGAACCACATATGTATAATGACTGACTAGAAAATACTTTATCTAGAATTTGAAGAATTATGTAAATTAATTATGGGATAGGTTTTGAAATATAATTAAGGTGACCGAGTGTATGGAAGATGAAGAATATCTTTGGAGATCTTATATTTTATTCCTGGAAGTGGATTAATTGTTATTCCAAGACTGAATTTTTCTAAACAGAGCAAGAATTTCATGTTGGATAAACCGCCCCAAAACAGCGGTCACCTTTAGGTACCTCTCCAGTTTCTTTATGAAGATAAATTCATTCTCGCAGAATAAAAAGTCGATCATCGTGCACAGTTTCAAAGATATCTTCAGATATTCATGGTTACTTTATGAGATGAAACAATTAGAAGAACAAAATACAATAACTTCCAAGTACAGTGCCGGTTGAGGTGACTCAGGGCATCAATAGATATACGCGCAGAGCCTCTTCCCGAGAGGTCAGACCGTTCGAGTCCCGACGGAGGAAATATTGTCGACAGGGGATAGATACATAGGTCGAATTAGTCTTTGACTGGACGAGACACTATGCCTATCAAAAGTTGAAAGGAAAACATTGAAGCTGTTTTTGAGAATATTTTGAAAATGTCCCAGGGGCTTGAAGTAAAGTACCTCCTAAAACTAAAGAAAGTTATTCAAAATCACAGGACTTATAGTGGAGGCAGATGTCCATTTGGAAAAAATCTTATGAATAGTTTAGGCGCTAGGGCTGTTGGCAGACGGACGGACGATCAGACAAACGGACGGACGAATGTTTTAAATATATATGTCAGGGGACCTCAATAGGTGTATTTCCGTTGAAGTCTAGAATTCGATTTCCGCAGCATTACTTAACTTTGCCTATTCCATATATACGTGTGTAGAACTTAATTGCAGGCGGAACGCACCGGAACTGCGTTTTGGCCCAATCACAATAATTTAGACAAATGAAAATAAATGAGCAAACACTTGGCGTCTTCTATTTTCAGTTCATCCAACTTTCGGTTTAGACAAAATTAAATACTTTTCCACTTAACTGTCTCTATCAATATAATAGAATTATTAATACATATCCTATGAGTATATCAAAATATGTTTTAAATTATTTTCATATGTTGTTGTTATTATTATCATTATTATTATTATTATTATTATTATTATTATTATTATTATTAATAATAATTGTGATCAATTATTATTCCAATATGAATATATATATATAAATTTCTATTACAATTTTAATTATTTTACATTGTGTTTGGAAATTACGCACTGTACGTATGTATATGGGAAAGTATCTAGTGATGCTACAGACTTTCTCGTATCAGTTTTCTAATTTCTTTGATCTGGGCTAATTTTTAGAACTTGCCACATACTCTTGGTAGCTGACATCAATCGATCTCCAAAGTAATTTTTTTAAAAAATTTTTTCCAATTTTTCGGCTTCATGGCAGTTGAACCTAAATATTACTTTAAGAATATTGTAGTAGAGTAAAACCTCGTTCTACATGAAAATTTTCGTTGAAAAATTTGGAGTCGCTTTAAGAAAATTGCGTTTAAGAGTCACAGTAAATGCGAAATTTGAAGCTCTTTTTCACAGAAAACTTTTGAGTTTTCGAAAAACTTCATTCGAAGTCGTTTGAAGCACTTCAACTCACAAATGCAATACTTTTTACAAATCGCTGTAAATGTGCATATTAACGGCGTGAGAGATATTTCGTTTGTGTATTTAAAAAACACACAAAAGAATAAAGCAAAATGAGTTTTAAGTCATCTTAAACAGTTCAATTAGCTCTATTATATCGGAAAGTTTTAAAAAATTGTGAGCTGTTTTTAAGAAAATGGCGTTTGAGTGTTTCTGAAAATGTGGAATACTGGGAACGTTTCCGCACAACCCTAAGGACGTCCCGGTTAACCCAGAGCCGCAAGTTTGGCTCTGGGTTATCTAAACCGGTAAAATAAAGTGAATGAATAAATGCAAAAACCCGTGATTTGTTTTTATTTGTTTATATCAGACGTACACTTTATAATATGTTGATCGATAGGCTTGCTGCGAAACAACAAGAAACGACGTTCTCTTTTCTATCGACTTCTACCCACTGTACATCGCGACGGAACTCGCCTCTCACAGGCCCGGAAACCGAAGGGCTTCGACCAATCGGCTCTGTCGCAGGTCGCCGCTATTACGTGTACGTGTGACGTTTTTTAGCGCAATCGAGCACGTTTGGTAACACGACCGAAAGAAATCATGCTGCTTTGTGCAAAGAGTTCGTTTCTCCGACATTGCATACACCTTGCTCACTGGATATTTAAGGGTCGGCTAACCGCAAACCACCAGCAGTCTCTGCAACCGCAGCTCAAGATGATCAAGACTCAGGTAAGCAGTCGCCTACGGTAGAGCCGAACGAAATTTTTGAAGAATGGTTAACATGTGTATCGATTTACTTTTCAAAAGTCCATTTCGGACCTGAAGGGACGACCCAGGGTTCGAGCAAGATATTTCCAAATATTAATTTAATGTCGAGTTATAAATCACAAAGCTAATAATTATATTACTCCAGATGTTTGTATTCGTTTACTTTATTTTGGTTCACGACAGGGATCCCTCAAATTTTCCAAGTTAGTACATCAATTAATATTGATTTTTTCCTGATTTGTTTATGACACCAAATCAAATAACTCAATTTTGTTTCAATCAGATACTAGCTTTTTTATTCTTCTCGTTTGACTTATTGCTTCTCGTTTGAAAAGTTTGCTTCAAAAGATTGGCTGGTACATTATTAAAAAATAACGTTCTAACGTGGCCATCCTGAAATTGTGATTCGTTTACTTCTCTGAATGTTAATAAAGTATGAATCTAGTTCTAAGAAGCAAAGCAGTGAGGGTGGATGGGTAAGAGGGAAATATCTTGGAGTTATGGGGGTTTGAATCAATCTTTTGGGAATCTCGATTTAATGCGGGCGCTGTTGTTGTTTCTACTGAAGTTGAAAATTGAACACCAGGGTCAGTAGGTAAGTTGTTGAAGAAATTGTTGGCCAGCTATTTTGACTTCTCATTGAATACTGATATGACTAACGATCGTCAGAATTATTTATTGGAGATGAACCATGGTTCATTTAGTGTTGAACTCAGATATTTATTTTGAACTGCGATTAGCTTGGAGATCCTTGGTTCAAATCCCGCTCGATATTGGACGTATGTGCCTACTTCCGAGGTATATGTAGTCTTAGATTTATTCTTTTTCACTTTCTAACGTTATATTTCTACAAAGTAGAATGCTTGTTTAGAAGATATTTTAGTATGCATTTGATTATTAAGTGAAAAAGAATAAATCTATTCTTGCCTACCTGGGTTAATACCGTACGTATGACTGCAGTTGATAATTAACTTCCATCCGTCACCTCTTTTGTAATGAGTTACAGAAGTGTGTATGTCGATATTTCTGTGTAGACGTGTGATACGATGAGATAAAACAATGCTTTACACTGTGATAAGAAATGATTGAGACCAGAGACGGTAATCGTATCAACAATTTGCAATTGTCCTAAAATCAATAAAAATATCGGTTCAGTGTACTACTTATACTTCCTTTGCCGATTATTGGAGAGTGGTGTTTAACTGACATTCCTACAGACTCTCCTCGTGGCTTTGGCGATGCTGGCGGGGGCCCGCGCGGGCCTGCAAGGAGGCATCGGGGGCGGTTACGACGGAGGCTACGGCGGAGGGTACGCCGTTTCGGAAGGAGGCAACGGCGGCGGCCACGGAGGAGCCAGTTCCTTCGCCCTGTTCCACGGCCCCGTCGCCGGCCCCGCTCACGCCGTGCACGGCGGCTACGGCGGCGACGGCAAGCACGGCCACGGCGGCGAATACGTCGACTACGTGGTGAGACTCGCACTCTATACACAGTCACTTGGGGTGGCTTTGCACTAAGCACCCACCGTATTTTCAGTTGCTTGAGCCATTAGTCGATTGAGACTAATCGACAGAATCGAATTATGGTTGAAGTAACTGAAAATACAAACGCCATCATTTTATGTAAGTCATTAAAGTGGTGCATGGTGAAAAGCCACCCTCAATGGTCTAAAGTCACCCAAGTGACTGTATTGAACTGCTCAATAAACAGTTCGCCACCTAAAATTTAACAAGTGGCTTGCAGCAGCTAAATACTGCAGAATATATTCACACAAAACGGTTTCTCAAAAAGTACGAAGCACATTTCTTAAGAACAAATAAAATACCATCGCATTACACTGCAATAAAAATTTAATATTTTAACAAAAACCGATTTCACGAATACTGCAATAACATAACGTAGTATGGTATGTATACACGCAGTGCAACTGTTTTTTGCGACAATTCACGAAACCTTATTCTGACAGTAACGCCAAAAGCTGTGCTAGGATGCAAAATGACGCACCCGGCGACCAAAGCTGAAGTATGCGGATGCCCAAATGCGACTTGTGCGCTCAGCGACTAAAGTACAAGGACAAAATTCGCTCGGATGCGACTGGCATTCTGCGACGCGACCTAGAGAACGGTCTGGCCTGACAGCGCAATCTCTCTCTTTTACAACATTGATATAAGGAACAGGCATGTAGCGGCATGCACAGAGCTCGATGCACGTAGTTATGTTTATTTATTTACAGTAATAATACTTGACTGAAACAGCCTAGATTTCCCATTTTCTGAATATAGCGCTCGCCCTAGCACGTGGCTTGTGGGGAGTTGGGGTGCGGGCGGACATGGAACTGCGACGCGCACGCAAACACGTCGCGCTACGCAAACTGAAAGGCACGCGGGCGGCCTGGTGGGCGCCAGGCCGACGCGGTGGGTGCGTGTCCATGACAATTCCCTGCGGATGAAGGGGAGCACCTCGCGAAACTTGAAACTGCATTCTTCGCGTACAAAGAGAATTGCGTATTTCTTAGTATTACGTACTTTCCGAGTTAATTTAACAGAATGTGATTCTAATTTATTTGTGAATATTTCTCTATAACCTCTCTAACGCCACAATACCAAGAATTAAAAACAAGTTACATAACGCAACGTAAATTGTACATATTTAATAGCGGACGGCTTCATTCTTGGAACCTTGGTTGGTCGCATGACGCTTCGTGCGACGTAAGCGGGTGGGGCACGTAATTGAGAGTAAAATCGGTAGCCGCAAGATGAGAACAGGCGAATGACACAAGCAAATATTTGCATTTATAGTCAAAATTTAGACTCGTCATTTTCGTATTTTTATCGAGTTCCTGGGTATCTAAAGAAACAGTAATCTGCAAATCTGCCTGTGCGCATCGTATTAAGTACATGATATCGCAAAACGTAGTAAACGTAGAAAAAAGGAAACAATTTTATAAAGATAAATACTTTAGCACTAAATACATAAAAGAAAAGAAAGAAACTTTATAAAACTATACTTGATGAAATACAAATTAAAAAGAAAAATCAAGAAAATCTAACATATTTTCTATCTACAATACTCGTACATTTATAAAATCTACAATATAAATTACAATAGGTATGGAATAACTTAGATGAAGGATTTCAATGCAAACGGGCATTACTCAAAAATGGTTTTCAGAACTATCTCAGGGGAGTTTATCAACCAATATTTTTCATACTTTTAGTTGATATACTATTTCCATTCAGGATTTTCAAATTACGTGGAAGCAAATTGTAAACTTTATAGCTGATATACTCAAAAAAATCTACTACCAATATCCTTTTTAACGTCATAACGTCTGGAGGCCTCAAATATAGAGTTCTTTTATTGGCCATTACTTTTGTTTCATAAATATTTGGAAATAAGAGAAATTCTCAAGAGTGACTTCAACATAAAATATTTCCTAATATCAATTGTTTAATTTTATCTATATAAGATTTCTGAAGAGTATTTTTTATCCTTTTCAAATATCAGTTTAATAATTCGTTTTTGAATATCACTCAGAGGTTTCAAGGAATTAGCGTAGGCTCCTTCCCAAGCAATTATACCATACGTAGCAATATACCAATAAAATGCATAGTTGCAATCATTGGTTGTTTTATATTAAATAATTTAGTAATTTTATAAAAAAAATATAAATGAGATATCTTAATTTATTTGCAATCTTCGATATATGGTAACCCAATTGCAATCTATAAGAATACCCAGGTATTTTGTATGATATTCGCTTTTTATCTCCGGACAAGTAGAGTATAGTATATTGCAAGAATTTATATGAATCCTCAATGTACTATGATACGGAACCCTGTCCAAATAGCTGCCATATGTAGAGTATACTGTCTTTGTTATATTAAGCGTAAGATGGTTTGCACATAACCAATTAGCCAACAGATTTAGGTTGACATCAGCTCTTTGAAGAACATCAGTCCATGATTTACCATTAACTATAACGCAAGTATCGTCATCAAAATACATCAAATCTCCCTTCGGTGGTGAGAAATATGTAAGTTATATAGAGAATAAAGAATAGGTCTTTGCGGAACTCCACAAGTGACCACTCGTTCTTTACTAGTAAAGTTTATTTTCACTACTTGTTTACGATTAGTCATGTAACTTTTAATCAAATCATAAGTAATTCCACGAAAACCATATCTACAGAGTTTCTTTAGTAGCAATTCATGATTGACAGTATCAAATGCTGTAACCAAATCCAGAGAAATAAATATGCAGGGCATACTCTTACCTATTGAAGTACAGATCTGTCTTGCAACATACTTAATAGCATCATCAATATTTTTACCTGTTTGAAAACTAAATTGGAATTGGTTTATAATATTATGTTTATTTAAGTAGTTTTCAAATATAACTTTCAATAATTTTTCAAATATTTTCTCAACTTTTGAGATTAGTGAGATAGGTCGGTTGGAATAATCTCACCTTTTCTAAAGTGTTCAGGAAATACACCTGTCTCAATACTTTTATTAAATATGTAAGTTAATGGTTTTAATATATGTTTAGAAACTTGTTTAATGACTGATATTGAGATTTGATAGACACCTGCAGACTTTTTACTGTTCATGGTGTTTACAGTATTCAGTATTTCTTGCTCCGTAGCAGGATTAAGAAAAATTATATATGCAGGGGATCGATCGGAATTCAATGTAGTCTCAGTCATTATAACATCCAGATTTTTAGCCATATCGGGACCAACTTCAACAAAAAAGTCTTTAGACTTGATTGCGATGTCAATATCATTTTCAATGAAAATACCATTGACATCATAAAAACTATTATTATTATTATTATTATTATTATTATCATTGTGTTGGTACATATGCATTGAAAACAACAGTAGGCTGTGTGTATTGAATGCTTGCTAGTTCAACTCCACCCAGCTCCCAAAATAGTTACATCACTTGCGATTTCGAAAATAATGTTATTTCAGAGAAAATTCTAATACGACATTCTGACCATTGCAGGCCTATCCGAAGTACGATTTCGCGTATGGCGTGGAGGACCATCACACCGGCGACTCGCACGGCCAGAAGGAGGTGCGCGACGGAGACAAAGTGGTCGGCGAGTACACCCTGAAGGAACCGGGCGGCAACGTGCGCACCGTAAAGTACCACGCCGACAAGAAGGGTGGCTTCTTCGCCACAGTGATCAACCACGGCGGCAACGATCACTCCGGCTACAAGCACGGCAAGGCGCACTCCTTCGCCAACTTCCACGGCCCCGTCGTCGGCGACGCCCACGAAGTTGTGGTCAGCGGCGGCCATGGCCACGCCGGCTACTAGGCGACCAGCCACAGCTTCCTGTTACTCTTTTGTTCTGTTTGCGTTTCTTACCGAAAAATAAATTATTTATTATTTGATATTAAGACGCTTGTTTTCTTATTTCTCCTTTCCGCACTCCCAGAGGTGCGGTGCTAAGGGGGGTGTCGGGGATAGCCATAGCCTAGTGTTCGACTACTTACGTAGCTAGGTCGAATTCAGTCACTTTTTGGAGGAAAACTCTAGTGTCCGGCTGCGCTGATCGGTTGTTTTGCGTGGTTTCTCCAGGTCAACACTGAAGCAGAAACTGGACAAACCGGCCACGGTCCACGTGTAATCATTTCTTCCTCATTCTTGCCCCCTCCGCTTCCCAAAATACTCATACATTAACTATCTTACATGTCGAAAGATCAATCGAGAGCTTAGAGAGTGCCCGGTTGCCACAGTGCTCCGTTTGGGGAGACACTCGGATAGTGAATTCCACCGCAAAGCTGACATGTAGGTCTACATTGGATTTCATCATTTAAGGGTAAAACATCACCTCCTCCCGGGCACGCGCAACTCATCATTAAAGATTACAGCATCTCCTATAGAAATTGCACCCCAAAAGAATATATATAAAAGGATTTATTTATTAATAATGAATTTCTGAGTTGCATTATGCAACAATCATTTCAAACTTTTCCTTGTCAGGACGATATCGGCTGGCCGTAACACATTTGTAGCTATTGACATAAAATAGAAAGGCGTTATACCCCCCACTTCATTGCGCCATATGGTCTATGTCAAAGGAGTAGGCGTGACGTTATGCGAACGCTAGCAGTTCAACCGTGGGCAGGATTTTCACTGAATATTAATATTCCCCAATCGATCTGGCTGATGTCGCGGCCTCCTGAATTTGAAACCGGTGTTATAATTGTAGAGGGTACTTTACATAACGACCCTGCACATTTTAAAAATAAAATTTGGTCAAATTATCTTGAATAAGTAAAGTCATGTTAATGAAAATTCGTTTTCACGTTTTGTATAGTGAATTCCAATCATTGACTTTCCCCAAGTTAGGCCACTTGCACACACACACACACACACACCACACACACACACACACACCACCACACACACCACCACACACACACCACACACAACATATATATATATATATATATATATATTATATATATATACATAAAACAACACTCCCTCTCTAGGAATTATTTCTAGGATTTTTTGGTATCAATTTTATGTTTCTATTTGTATCATAATCCAAAGAATCATGTTCTCTTGTTACCATTTTAACTGGCAACTAATTTTAATTAAAAACATTGAACATTTATGGTGTGTAAATAGGAAAAAATTTGCAAAAATGTAAAAATTAATAAATTCTGGGGAATTCTTAGTTACTGAAATCTTGTTAGATGACTTTTACTGAGTCACTAACGTGTGAAATAATGCAGCAGGCCAAAAATATACAACATGTGGTAAAATGTTAATAATACCACCTTAAATAGTAGTTGATAAATGTTAAAAAACGGTACAAATTGAGAAAAATTACGATTTCTAGGGATTTTTTAATCTTAAAATTTAATGTTTTATACTTATTAGTACCATAGGTTTAAAATATAATGTTGACTTGTTAACGTATTTACAGAGAACTCATTGTCAATAGAAATATTGGAAGTTATAACCGATTAAATACGAAAATATCTTTAAAAAAATGGCAAAAATAGTAACTTCTAGGGACTTTTTAGTTACTGAAATGTAATGATAAAGCTTCATGGAGTGTTATGGTCTTAAAAGCAACTATCTGGGCACCACATAATCCAATCGGGATTTATTTGAATGCATTATTGTACATAGTAGTTAATAATGTAAAAAATATCAAAAAATGCACTTTTGAGCGACTGGTGCGCCCTCTAGAATTAATTAAAAAAATCGTTTTAGGGTGCCTGGACATGTTTTTTCAAGTGAAACTTTAATTCTGGAGGGTAGCAAGCGAAATTTTTTTTTTCGAAACACCCTAATATATATTGCTTGTGTCGAGAAAGTGCGAGTGATTCGCTAGTTAGAAGCAATTTTATTTGCATTAAAAAGTTTTGGGAGGCAATAATTTGCATAAGCAGTGAATTAACCGTATCTTTGCCTATTTAAGTTTTACAACAGTGAAAGACGAGAAAAATCAGCAAGAAGTTACGATATGTTATTTCGCAAGTAAAGTGAGTTTTGAAGAATGCGAACAACATGTATCGCATTTATGAGCGTACGAACTTTATTTAAATTTCACGAAAGTCTGAATCATGAACAGATTGATTGAGAAAAGTGGTGCTGCCACAGCCGGGGAGCGGAAGAAGAAAAGAAGACGAGGAGCGTGAGAGGACCAAGACCGGAAGAGGACGAGGTCGGAACGCGACTGGTCGGGAACGAGGACCGAAGGCGACGCTGAAGGGCACGCGGCGGAGCAAAGCGGGTTCTTGACCTCGCGCACTGCAGCTGTGTGATCGAGGAGAGTACGGCGTTAGGGTGCGGAACCGTGGCAGCAGACCTGGAGGCCACCCCGCCCAAAGCAACGAACGCTGCGTACCAAAAGTTTGTTTTGGGAATAGCTGGAGAGAAACTGGGAAACTACATTCGTCGTGGCTAAAAATTAACCAGAACTCTAGAGGGGAGTCATTTTTAAAGTACAATTCCAATTAGATATCTTTTCCAAACGTTTATATCACGAGCCAAGAGAATACAATCATGTATCAAAGTTAATAACATGTGAGGTTATTTTGTTTCAAACTGAGATGGGTATTAGTTTGTTTAATAAGATTAGTAATTTTGGATGGGGAAAGGTTGATTGAATTTGATGAGGAAGGAAGGGTAACAAAATGTCGTTAATTGTATGTTGATGTAATCGAGTGAAGTAAATGTAGTTGTAATTCGAGTTTCTTGAGCAACTTTGCAGTCAGATGAATTACTTAAGGATGCAACCATTTCATGGGATAAATTTACGAATTTTGAACAATTGCCTACTCGAAAGGTTTTCAAAGATATTTGAAACAATTTTGATCTTAGCTTTGAGTGTTATTTATGTGTTTTGTTTTGAGGATTGAATAAATCTCACTTTTACCACAAGTTCACAACCGAGTAGTGTTGTTCTTACTTTCGCATGCGATCATCTACCAATGTTTTCTCCTACCAAAAACCCTACGCATTTCAGGTTTCCCAAATAAAAATTCATGATAATTGTGACCACAGTTACGTCTACCACAGTTACTTCATTCATTTATAGTTATTATGGACTCATGGCTAGCTCTAGCTCGATTTCCACTACTCAACCCAGGGTTCGATTGCCGGTCGAGCCAAGACTACAGTGTGCGTTTTCCTTGCACTGTCACACTGTATGTTGCTATGTGACGAGAAAATTCACTTCTCAGGCTGAAAAGACCGGAAAATGGCACCCTCTTAGCTCATGTTACACCGGCACAACACACGTACCCCCTTAACCCGTGGCCGCGAGGCAGGGACGTCTGAGCCGGTAAACCTGAGCCCGTTCACGGGCTGTCGCCCGTGAAAAAATATTTTTTTGACTTCTCTTACGTCGTTAATATTTACACTAGCGGCGATTTGTTCATATTATTCTATTTAAGAGTACATGGTGCTTTAAATGATGTCTTACAAAGTTTCTTGAAAACTCAAAAGTTGTCTGTGAAAAGGAACTCAAACTTTCGTCTGTGATAATGATTTCAATTTTTCAGAAAAATTTAAACTTCTCAAAAATGGCTCCAATTTTTCTTCAAACTTTTCGAACGGATAGTGCTAATTGGACTGTTTAAGGTAACATAAAATTCATTTTACTTCATTCAGTTGTTTCTTTCTTCAAAAAAAGACACAAATGAATTTTTTAAATAACTCTTATGCCTTTAATATGCACAGTGCCTGCCACATTTCCAACTCTAGATTACAAAGATGCCCTGTATCAAGCATTATTAAATAGGCATAGGCTTGCAGACTACAGTGGGTAAAAATTAAGAAAAAATCATTTTTATAATAAACCATACAATTTAATTGAATGAACATTATGATACGTAATTTAAAAAATTCATTTAAAAGGGTTTTATAGATGCACCTGAATGACTTGACTCACACAGCACATATTTGCTTCGTGCAGTCCACACATGGCTTTTGAGATGCGTCCACAGAAGTACCTTGTCATGCGACGTTATTTGTGATCGCCATAATTCTATTATGATTATTAAATGATCAGAAGAAAACTTAAATGCTACAGGAAGATAATTTTGTATATTCACAATAGTGGCCAATGAAGCACCAAAAATATCACTGACGTAACTAGAAAGGTTTAGTCTATTGGACAACGCGTGTTAAACAGGCATACCCCGGAAATAGGATCTCGCACGACGTTACGTATATTTCACTGGCTAGTCACACAATGAAGGCACACAGAATTTAACTAACGGGGAGCGAGAGGAAGAGAATGGGACAAGCTTTCGGAACTAGTTGCGTCGTCTGACAGATGACGCCTTCGTAATCTAGGATTAACGGCAATATATGTATTTCAAAGAACACAGCAAAATGGTTTTAATGTCATCTTAAAAAAATTAATATAGCACTAACCGTACAAAATGTTAAAAGAACAATTTGAAGCCGATTTTGTGAAATTGGCGGTTTGAGCTTTTCTGAAAATGCGGTAATGAGAGCTCATTTTTACACAAACATCATTCAAAGCACAAAGACATAATTCAAAGCACACGTTCTAATAAATGCAATAATATGAATAAATCATCACTAATGTAAATATTAACGAAGTGAGAGACAAGGAAAATTACATTTTTGTAGTTTTTCGAAGCAAATGGGCGAAACAAATTCTTGTAATAAAACAAAAAGGCGTTTATGTCATCTCATAGGGTACATTTAGAACGATCCCTTCCAAAAGTTGAAAGAGAAAAAATAGAACCGTTATTAAGAGATAGTTGTTTTGTTATTTTTAATAATGCACAATATTGCGTGAAAACGAATAAAATTTTCAAGACAATGGACATCATCTTAATGAAAGAACTAATTATAAAGAAAAATTTTATTTGAAGAAAGATCTCTATCTTCAATTTCGTACTCGTGGGAAGATACCGAACAATTTTGAAACTTTTGCAATTTTTGAAAATTCAGAAAATTTAGTGAAAATTGGACCGACGCAACCTTGAAGAGTGCATTTCACTTTATTATTATCAGAAATTTAAGGAAAATATTTCGGACTTGTTTTAGAGAAAAAATGAGAGAAAAAATTTAGAGAGGCTTCATGCAGTACTAATCCAGTAACTAGTCCAGAATTAAAGGAAGATATTCAAAACCGCAGAGCTTTGAGTCGAGCCAGATCAATCAGGGATTATCAATTTTGGAACAAAATCATACGCAAAGTTTAGGTGTAATTGTTTACAGACGGACAAACGTGATAAACAAAAAAACAAACAAACAATTTTTTGGTATGAAGGTCTCCCGAAACGTAATACAGAAATTATTATTTTTATTGAACTTTGTGTTCGGATAGGTTAATTAAACTTAAGAGAATGGTGATTGTCTCGTTTTCTTTAGTCGCTAATTTTTTCGAAAACGAAAAAAAATATTAAAAATTATTTCAGCGTCTTCCTACAACTATAATATTGAAGATCTTTTCCTAAATGAAATGTTCCTTGAAGACAGATTTTGAAATAGTCATGTTCAATTTTTCTAAAATATGAGAAGTTTTTACGTCATTTTGCGCGAAATAAAGGTAATTTAAAAAAAAAAATTTCTCAAAACCCGCTCCAGTTATTTTCTTTAAATTTATCGCCACATTGTAATAGTAATAGACACAGTAAAAAATGTGGCCCTAATCTCATTTTCGTGTAATGCTTGGTTTTCGAAAATTGCAAAACGTTAATATTTTTAATCTACAAAATTGAAGATTTTTTCCTGAAAGTCTGTTGCAAAACATCAGTGCTTTAAAAAAACGTCATGTATAATTTTTTGAAAATACGAGAAGTTTTTGCATAATTTGCGCTTGAAATTTACGCAATTTTGTACACAAAATATTTTCTCAAAAGCCATTCAAAATTAAAAAAGAAGTCCACTTAAAAAGACACTTAAAAGAATGGCCCAAGTCTCATTTTTTCGATGAATTCCCTGTATTTTTGAAAGTTGCAAAAACCTAACATTTGCAAACTACATTACGAAGGTACTGATTTTTGTCTTATAAAAAATCAGCTCGTCAAAAAAGGCAATGTACATTTTTTTGAAAAAACTAATAATGTTCGCGAAATATATGAAATACACCCACTCAGATGCGTCAGCAAAATTAGTTTTAATTATAACTTAGTTTTGTAAACAGTAAAGTTAATTATATTTTTACTCTATTCTTCAACTTGTATTCTCAATATATTTATGTATTTCTTTTCAAGCTATTCGCAAACCTTAATTGAAATTTGCCCAACACTGCCGTGATGGTTATTTGAGAAGTTTACTGTGGAACGGGGAGATGTTGGCGGCAAAGTAAGAGATTTTATTTGCATTCGAACTTGTGTTATAAGTTTACAAATTAGCTTTTTAGGAATTTTTTTCCTAAAAATCCATCATTATACACAATCTCTTTTGGCATTGAATATCGTACAGGAACTAGGATTTTGAAACTAGGTCAATAAAATAACATACGTCATCAAACAATTTTTATTTACTCGTAACACAGAAAACAAGAATTACAAGTCGACAAAAGAAACTCTGCGAAACATAAATTTAACTAATTACTCAAAAAACACTTATTAATAATGAAAATGAAATGTGCAGTTCGTAAAAGAAAATCCTGAACTTCCAAAATCCTGTTTCCAAAAAGTGTGAGGTTTTGAATGTTGTTGTGTGTTCTACGCCTCTCCCCCAGATACAATTGTCCTGGCTATTCTAACCTAATTTGCTACTGACTCCTCAATGTATTGTTCTACGTTACTAGTTGAACGCCATTCGATTTTTTCTCTTCCATCCAAGTTAAAAATGTATCACGTTCTTTTTCATAATTTTCAGCTGTTTTTCTAGGTATTAGCGACAATTCTGCTTCAGCAACTTCATTAATAATTGCCTCTGGTAAATCCATTTCCCAACAAACAATAAACACCTCAGCCAACCACTGCCGCCTCCATTACAGTCGGTCTTGGCCTATATTATGTACGTAACATACCATTCTACTTCCAGGTTCAGTAACTATTTTACCCTTGCAACAATTTTATAATGATGTTACGTAAAAATAGTGTATGCAATTCGTTTATAAAGTTACTTTTTTGCATGAATAAGAACGTTATAAACTAATGGTATAAGATACTATGAAACTTATTCCTATTTCCTAATCCACATTTTGTGTCCGTGCTGCGAGGTATAGCAATTACATATTTTAACTGACCGAAAGGTAACTTATCTGCGAATATTCAGCATGTCATCAACAATACCTTTTAATTATAGTCTTTAAAAATTTAAACAATTATAAAGCAATGCAGTAGAACGTCGATTATCCGTTTCTTTTTTCTAAAATTAGTTTTGCTTTATGAGCTGAAGTTAAACAAATGTTTCCAAAACTTAAGCATTTTTTAAAATTTTGCATGGTAAACACGTTGTATTTTATAGCTATTGTAGGCAATAGAACGTTTAAGGGTCCACTATACGATTTGAAATGTTTATTATATTAGATGAGTCTTACCAGAGACATTAGTTTATAAAGTGTTTGAAATGATAGCACTTTATCACTGAGTTATTATGAACTTTGAAGTTTTATTTTCCTGTGCTACGTTTGAGGTGGCGTGAGTGTATAATGCGGCGATAATAAATTAACTTAATATTTAAAATTGTACATTAATAATTTAATTCATTTATTATTATTATTGGAGTTAGTTATTGATCAACTGTGTGAGATGTTCTGTGACTAAACCATAAACAAGTTAAAATATGAATACAGATGGAAATTAGCGTTTCTGCCAAGAATTGATAAGAAAATATTCGCCATTGTATATGCCAAACGAATTGAACATAATTTTGACATCGGTGCACTGGCAACAGTGCGTTGATTGCTTCTGTTTGCTGCGAATACTGTAACAGTCAAATGTGTTCCTGTTTGTTTCATTTGCGAAAGTAAGAAATGATTGCTGCTCCTGACTATCCTAATGAATTTCAGACATGCATCACAGGCCATTTGTTTGAATTGGCTGAATTGGATGTTTTCAATTAATTGCTTGAGCTAGGTAAGAGGTGTTGGTACCGCAGAAATTGCAATATTTCAATATTATTTAGATGTTTCCAGTAATGCGAAAAAGTATGTGCTGTTCTAGCATCACTAATTAATTTAGCCGTTTGTATGTCTCCCTTGGGAAAATTCAAAATTTATGTTGAAAAGACATTTTCATGAATGAATGGATCTTTATATTGAGCGTATTTCCTTATATTGATTACCAACGTCTTAAACTTTTTCTCCGCAGAACAATCTTATTTGAATGGTTGAAAACCAAAACGGTATAAGTGACGTTTTATACATTTTGAAAAATATTTTTATTAAGTCTCTCTATCTATCTATCTATCTATCTATCTATCTATCTATCTATCTATCTATCTATCTATCTATCTAGAGAGAGAGAGAGAGAGAGAGAGAGATACGGTAAAGTCGTGATGCTTTGTTTCTTCATTAAAACAGTATTTCAATTGTTCATTGAAGCCACAAACATACATTTGCACTGAAATATTGCCTAAAATATTTTTTTAAGTAATTTATAAAATATCCCTTACACCGTTCTGGCTTCACCCATTCAATTATAGTTTAGAAGTCACGTTGATCTATCCGCCTACTAAACAATTCCATCTCAATCCTTTATACCCCAATTTCGCAGGACCCTAATTAAATAACCCTGAATTATTGGAGTAAAACTCCCTTAAACAGATACCACATGTTAAGTCCAAGGCCTGGTCAGAGAAATAAATCAATGAATATACATTATTACGAACTGAACAATCTAGAAATTAATTTTCCTTCAACATTTATTTGCCAGAATTTCTCATAAGTTTGGAAGAAAGAAAAAAGAGAAAAAATCACAGAGTGAGGTAATTTTAAATTTGCAACGCACTAATGTAGCTATTTTACATTGTAACTACACTTGCGTAATAAATATTTCAAACTAGTGGTTTGGTTTCTAACAATTCGAAGATTTAAAGTGTTTTCAATACTCTCGTTACAGAGAAAACGTTTGAAACGGTTCAAACGATAGCGAGAAAGAGGAACGGAGGCACGTAGACTATTAGAGAAAATGACTGGTTGAGAGACAGGAAGACATGCGTAACTGGCAGGCAGGCGTGCTAACAAGTTGGTGAGCATAATCTTGGCATTAGCCTTCCTACAACTGGGTCATAAGAACTAACAGGTGCAGAAATGTGAACATTTAATCTTAGGTTATTAGGAAATGAACTACAATCTACGCTGAATACATTGATCTACAATAATTGTTTATACATTATTATTGTTTATTGTCTATTACAACTATATCTATAAAAATGAATATTATTATAACATTAAGAGTGAATCAAAGAAAATGATTCCTAACATTTATTTACGGTGGTATAAAGACGACTCTATAAGTAATTAGCCTTACGAAACGACACCTGAAAACATAACAGTACATTTAAAAAATAGTTTTTTATAGTCAGAATGGTAAAAGTGGCATTCTATTTTGCGAGTAGGAAAGATTGCGACACGTGGATAATATGCCGACTGATGCAATTCTACGAGTAAAATAAAATCACTTTTACATGTGCCATCCACCATTTTTTAGTCAGCGTTACTGACATTCATTTTATTTTAAATCAAGCACACAAATCTCTATGTTACATTAAGGTCAGAAGTGGCTGATCAGACGACAGTATTTTGCTTTATTTTCGTGTATTCACAGTTTCATCCGAAAGCAGTTGATGAAGCAGACGAAAAAACTTGTTTTCTTTGTTGTTTTCACAGTTTTATGAGAACACTGCAGCACCGTCTCTCTTTTACCACTAGTGCTAAAAATTGAATTTTTAGCACGCTTTGTATTGCCCTACTGTAATACTATGAGAGAGAGAGAGAGAGAGAGAGAGAGAGAGAGAAGGAGAGAAAGTGAGAGAGACAGAGAGAAAGAGATAATCACGGATAGACGGAGATAGAGACACCGAGAGACTGAGACAGACAGCTTGAGAGACATAGGCAGAGACACAAGAGGGAGACAGGGAGAAGCACAGAGAGAAAGAGATGGAGGCAAAAAAGGGAGAGGGATAGAGATAGATACACAGTCAGAGAGACAGAGACAGGACGTTGCAGATAGAGACAGTAAGAGACAAACAGAGAGAGAGAGAGACAATGGGATACAGAAAGAGATCGAGCCAGAGAAAGACAAACTAAGAGAGAGACAGACAGAAAGACAGATTGAGATAGATAGCTAGAACAGGCCGAGATAGAGACAGGGGCATACAGGCTGACAGAAAGAGAAACAGAGAAAAAGAAAGAGAAAGAAACCAGACAGACACAGAGATAGACAAACAGAGAGGGACAGAGATGCACATAGAGAGACGGATAGAGAGAGACCAGGAGACGTTTTCTTTTTGAATTGATTGAATACGAAAAAAAACGGGCAACGCCGACTACTTTGCGGAAGGAACGGGATTAACTTTTCATGAGCCATTTTGATGTTGCGACATGGAAAAGAAATACTAGTTGTTTTTTTTTCATTAATTTGGAATAAAAGTTAATATTTACCCACATTTGTTTTGCAAATGGTTTAAAAGTTCTAAAAAAACATAGTTTTCAAATACGACACAAAAAACAAACTATAATAGGATTCCCTTTAACAAGCTAAAATAGTATCTCAATCTACAGACCACCTGACATAGTATCAGCTTACTGCCGAAAAAATACATGGGAACTGACTGCCAGTTTGGTTCCTGAAGGGAACATATCTCACAAAACTGAATTACCCTGCAGTTACCTCCGTATGATGGGAAAATTACCTTGGTCGTTTAGATTTTTTCCGACCTGGCCCATTACGGGCGCCTACCTCAAGGTACTAAATATCAACACCAAAATTGTTTAAATATCATAAAATACTAGTGTTCAGTGACCTGAGATATTTCTTTTAATTGGAGAACTTGATCAAATTATATAAACAAGAATATCTCGAAGAAGGTGGGGTAGGAGATTGGTACCTTAATTCAACAAGTGAAATAGATTATCATCGATATCGGTAATAATCGCTTTCATTTTAACATCCGTCTCACTTAACAAACATAGTTTCGTTATACGTAGTAGTGTTTCTGAAAGGCTCAGAAAGAAATCGAGTGACATTTTGATTCGCTGATGCAATGAGAAAGTGCGAGCTCATAATCTCAATCCGTGAAGTGACCCACTGATTCGACATTTCTTGGGGAATTAACACCCATTAAAACAGATTAATCGTGTTATTTACAATGTAAATAGTATAAAAAAAGATATGAAATGTTATCGAAGAGGAAAAAATATAACAATGAATGACATTGAGTTACAATGAGTTACATTGAAAATTCGTTGTTTTTCATTTTAACATGACGTTTAACTTTCTATAATATTAGCAGTTGGGTGGCTATGTATGATAGAATAATGAATAACAATTCATTACTATAAGAATAGTTCTTTGATAGACAATACGTAATATTATAAAACACGAGTAGTTACTTGACTATGCAATGGCTACGTAAAATACTGTGATAATGTTTTTCAAAGGAGAGAGCGCACGCAGTTCATATTTCGGAAATGTAGGTTACATTACCAGTTACACAATGCATTATTACCTTTTCATTTGAAACGACGTCTGTTGATAAAAATGTTTCTTTAATTGAAACGACATATTTAAAAATACAATTTTCTGGAAATGAGATCATGTAGAATTTAGACCTTTAAAAAATTATACTAAGTTCTCTCCACTCTTCACCCCACTCCAACCTCTTTTCAAATGACTAACTCACTAACTGCAGGGAAATTGCGTCCCCCATTATCCTCCCTCCCCGGTTACCCCCTCGTCATGGGTGCGCCACTGCACCACAAAGGAAACAGTAGTTGACATGCCATACTTATTATTTGAAGGATTTGGGGGTAGTATCAAGATTAGACATGTTGTAATGCCTCGATTTGGTTGACAGAGGGGCTTACCTGTATAGTAGATATGCCTTCATATATATGATTACAATGGAGCTATAACATTTTTTGTTTGAATTTGTTGACGCGTCTCTGAGCCCTTTTTTGTGCGCCTATCTTGGAGTAATTCTCCGTTACTTTCATTGTCAAGTCTCGACACGTCGCAGTCAGCCAGTGCCTTTTATCGGCCAGGGGCTTGGGGCCGTCAGATCACGGTGTTCCTACTCCGTCACCCTGCCGACCAGGTCCCGAATTCGCTTAACCTCCGTGACTTCACGAAACGTAGTTGAACGAATTCGGCTAGTGGCGCCGGCACAAATGATTCGTACTTCGAAAACTATCGAGGTATGAACATTTAACGGCAAACCTGCTGTGGCCGGAGTTGCTTATCCTGCTTTTAATCAAATCTTTCTTCTCGGAAGACGGATATCCAAGAGCGAGCTGATTGGTCGCAAAATCTTTCTGCAGTAAAGAAGATCAATTGTGATCTAACTATACCTACCTCTAAATCTTGTTGAGAAACAGAATCACAAATTTTTTTTCGAAACACGTAGGTGCCATTATTTTCCGACCTCTCGTATAGGACCATATACAGATACTTGACACGAGCGTAAGGATCAATATTCGAAAACAAAACAACAAGTGGATGTGTTAATTGGTTTTTTTAAAGGCGCGGAAAGTGGCTGGAGAACGGGTTAGGCCCGGGCGGTGACGTCGCTTAGCCAGCGGCTGTCGAAGCAGCGCCAGCAAGGGAACATGCCTTACGCACGCGTCTGCGGCCTGACAGCGCCGGCGCTACCGGCCCGCCTCTTCGGCCGTTACGCAAGAATGTCATTTCTGGGCAGAGAACAGGTCCATTCGGTAACGCGACGCGAGCGAATTACATCTCTGCTCCCCAATGTTCTTTCCCCTCCCCGGCCTCCCAATTTCGCCGTTTGTCGCGTGGATATTTAAGCTCCCGCAGAACACTATCCACCATCAGTCACCGCGACCGCAACGCACAATCATGATGAAGTCTCAGGTAAGCCGCAACGAAGGAGTGGATTCAATCTCGGAGCTGACTTATCGTAGGCACTCAAACTATGTGGAACATTTTTATGTGATTTATCTGGAAGATTTGGGAGAACATTGTAGAAAATAATATTTAATACTCGAATAATTCGGAATATTAGAATAATTAACTGTTTGTTCAACTCCATAATAATGGAGCATATTTTTTCATTATTCATTATTGAACAAAGAAGTAGTATTTTATTTCCGCAATGGTCAGTTTTCTCGATTTTCTCGAACGATGTCTATAGCGATATTTACATATAAATCTAAAATGAAGTTCTGTAATCTATTCTAATCGATTGTAATCTATTCTAACGAATTTTATAAAAACACTTTTCTTATGAGTACTCGGTTAGTGGACAATACTTGGTGCATAGTAATACAATACACTATAAGGAGATATTATCAATATTTTCACAATTTGTTCTCACGTTTTCACATATTTGCGCACAAGTTGCATATGTACACAAGTTGGTGGGCTCAAATCCGATCGAAGTCGTGGATTTTTAAGGGAGAAAAAATCCTTCGTACGCTTTCCTTCGGAGGGGAAGTAAAGCCGGCTGTCCTATGCTAGTAGATTTACTTGCATGTAAAAGATCCTCAAGCCTAAATGACATCTCTTACCTAAATTCAAATCGCCTGTTTCTCGCCTAAGAAATACTTCCTTTCTCTGCTACGTGGTGAAAGGAGAGTAGCGAAATTTGTGTGGTCAGAGGAAAGAGCGGGGTTGATGGCCCGAGTCTCGCCACGTAAAATAAGGCATTAATTCAATTGAATTCAATATTTCAACAAATTAACAAAGTTAATTGCAAACGGAATCGACGTTCGAGAAAAAAGAGCAAGTGCTAACAAGCAAATATGTGTGTTGTTTGTATTTGTAATATTTTACTTACTCCTGTTGATATATAATATATAATAAATATATATATATATATATATATATATATAATATATATTATGATATATATTCCAAATTACATTTTAACTAATTATCATAAAAATAGGGTTGGTTTTAAATTTGAA